AAAAAAAAAAAAAAAAAAAAAACTAGATAACTCGTAAATAACGTCTGTATGTGTATGACGACGTCGTTTATTCGTTTTGACCAGGCGCTGAAAATCGCGACTATAGCTGATAGAAAAAAATGGTTAACAAAGTGAAAAAGGAGAGGGGGCGAGGAGGCGACGGGAGAAAAGGAAAGTCGCATGCACACACAGGAAGGGAGAATGACGCAAAAATGTAAAAGATTTGTCGTGGATAGAACGCCAGTGAGTCACTGGGTGACGTCGTGTGTACACGCGCGATCGTAAATATCAGCGTGGCGTGGAGTTTACAACGAGGTAAAACGGAGGGCACCAAATCAATTGTCAGTAAAGTGATTTACGTCCGTGGCGGCGTCTATCAATTTGCAAGCGGGAGATGCGAGCGAGCATGGAACGCGCGCGCTCTCTCTTCTCCTGTGCTCGCGCGCGACCACCCGACTGCCACGACTTCTCGTACATCAACTTCTCGACATTCAAGAACAAACGACCATTACTTACATTCTCTCTCTCTCTCTCTCTCTCTCTCTCTTATTCCTTCTCCCGTTGCCTCTTCATCCTGCTATCTCCGTTTCTCTCTAGACCGCATTTGATTATCTTTCGATTAAACAGGAAGGGAGAGAGAAAGAGAGAGAGAGAAGAGAGACGAGACAGGCCCTCGGCTACTTACCATTAAAACTACCCTCCGTTGGAGCTCGATCGGTGAAACGACCGACAGTCCAACAAGCCAACTCGAAAGTCGATTAGCGCGTAATTAAGACATTAGCCAGGAACTTGCGGCATTTAAATAGCTCGAACGACCTTTCTTCTCCGGGTTGAACGTTACGTTTCTATTCGAGGGTAAATCGAATTTCATATTTCATTTGGCGCGTCGGTAACGTGGATAATAACGTGGTGAGGAAGAGGGGATAGAAATTCTAATCGAATTCGGTCGGTGAACTCTCCCCGGCCGGAGAACCAGTTGTTCGAGTGAGTTGTTCCTCTTTCGTCAAACACCGGTTAACCCTTTCCTCCGGTAC